TAGTTATTTAAAATAAAAACATATTTACCTATATATAATTTATTTTTTTAAATTTAATCATATCGTTCATAAATAAAAAACCTTGCGGCTAACAACAAAATATGGTAGATAGGTATACTCTATTAGTATGAACACTTTTAGAGTATTTGAAACAATTAAAATTTTCCGAAAACTTAGAACAATTACGCGATCCTGTATATAATAAACAGTTAAGCTGCAGTTTACCGTCGCTATAGAAACATCACGAAATTAAAATACAAATCATTAATAATTATTGCAAGATATTTTTCGCATAAATCGTCATTACTCAGATATTCTGGTTTTATATTTATTATTTGTCAACTTCTATTGATAAAACGTTTGTCCATTATCTGGCGCAGATGAAAACTTTATACAGAAATCGTAGAGAAATAATCGTGTGTATTATTTAATGTGAAAAAAAAAGTTTTTTCATATAACCAATTTATTAAATTTTGTATACCTACTTAACTGTAATAAACTTTGAAATTTTAAGATCAGATTAAAGAACAATTAAATAATTATGATCAATACAACTAAGCCACTACAATATTTCATATTTTTATGATATAATTTTTAAAGGAAATTTAAACTCACATATTTTATTGGATACTTGCAATTTATCGTGTATTCTTGTTTATTAAAATCTTACGAAATATCTTCTATATTTTATTTAAATGAAAATAATTATCATAAAAACAAAAGAAAACAATATCTTTAATCATTTTAAACTTGAATTATGGGATTCAAATCAAATTTGAAAAATATTTTTTTGAAATAAAATGCGAATTTAGTAGTATTTCAAGTAAGATAAGTTAAATCAGCTAAAAAATTAATAATTAACAATACGTACATCAGCAGCTTAAGTTATTATACTTTGTGAGCCCCTGATAAACTTTTTCCACTCGTCCACCAAATTTAAAGGTACCCTAAAGCAGTAGGGGTTTAACGCTCTCTCAAAAATGTATTAACCGATTTGAGAGGATAATTTACTTTAAAAAAAAAAAGATAGTTGGGATTTATTTGAATTTTGAAATTTCTCTCTTAAAATAATATGTTTTTTTACATTTTATTTGCTTATAACAAACATTGCATACTTTAATTTGTAAACGAGTGTTATAAGTTGTGATATATAGTCATAGATGCTCTTAAATCTTGACAAATTTATCTATTGTCATACAAAAATAATTCTCCGCAGATTATTTTTTACATTAAAATCGAGATGATAGAAGTAATACACGAAATTATATGTTATACACTCATACTAGTCATTAATAGGTACTTAACTAGTTTAAAAATGTAATAAATACCTAATTAATGTATTCAGTAACCTAACTCAGCTGATAAGTAAAGTTAATGAACACAAGATCATTAAGTTATAAATTAATAATTAACAAATAATAAATTAAACATAATAAGTAATCGTTAAGTTGAAATAATAAAAACAAATATTATTATAGTTTAAAAAAAAGTTAAATTACTTTTTTAATTAGTATCTACCTACATGACTCACAAAATGATTATTATTTAGTGCTTATCTAAGTATTATAATATTTTATCAAGAAACATAATATAAATAATAATAGAATTAGGTACTACTGTAATTATATAGGTAATGTAAAATTATTTTCAAGCAATACATTGTACAGTAAATAATGTACCTAATACCTATATAAATCCATTAAACCTAAAAATTTACCTTTTTAATTTTTACTTAGGTAGATACTGTATTATTTTTAAATCAACTAAAAAATCTAAATAATTTCAGTTATAAATTAAACTAATTGATTCTTAAGTTGATCAAAAAATTATTTATAGCTAGTCAAGTTAAACATTTTAAAAAGAACTTTTTAATGAAATATTTTAACTATTAATGCCCACTTTTGAAAATAGATAACTATTATAATAATATGTCATGATATATTTTTATTGTTAACTTTCAGTATTCCACCTCCTGTCAAAAAATCAATTAAATACTTTCAAAAATATTTATTATTTTTTAATATTTTAAGCCTTTTTGCTTTGACCATTAAAATGTATTTTATTGAAAACTTTTATTTTAAAATCGAATCGGAGTTCTTAACGCTATCTCTTAGTAACACTCATGTACTACATAGGTACGCGCGTTAGACACACAGAGAGCACTTAGCTAGAATAACGTTTTCTATAACGATACTGATTTTTATCAAAATAAATGTAAACATTAATAACAATTTGATAATACGGGCAGTGGTGTATCCAGAATTATTTTTAAGGGGGGAGAAAGGCACACACTGTCTAAAATTTTATCAAATATACTACCAAAAAGAAAAAATCAAGCAGGCCAAAGGCATAGAAAGCAAAAAAAAGTCATCAAATAAAAAAGGCTTGAGAGCCACCAGTTGCCCGACTAATACTCTGAGCATCACCGTTTTTCGCCAAAATCGACCTTTCCGTTTACTGCCAGAACAATAACATATATTTCTTTTTTCAGCCATCACAAATTTCAGTTTCTATATTTTGATAACCCCTAATTGTAAGAATTAAAATATTATATTTTATACCTACGTATATTTTATCACGTAGATAATATGTTCACAATCATGTTTTTTCTCCATTAATAAAAAAAAGAAGAAAGATTACGTTCTAATTCATGCGACAACTGACAATAAAGGTAAAGCGTTTCTGGTTTAATCTTCTTTATATTTTACGATATACCTATTACATAATAGTATGTGTTGAAGTTGGTGAAAAAATAGTACGCTTCACATAATGGAAAATATAATTGAAAGTAATCGTAGTAAAAAGTAGTTGATTTAATATAATTTTTAATTTCAAATTAGCTCATTTAATAAAGGACTTACTCGTAGGCGGTAAACAATAAAAAACTTTACAGCAAAAGTGTATACAGATGAAAATAATACAGTTATTAACAATTCAAATACACCACAGCACGACCATAATGAATATTCAAGCTAAGCATTAAAAAAGCAAGTGCTAAATACAACATTTAAACAAAAAAAAAGCAATTTAAAATGTAATTACCAAGTCAAAAAAAAATTATTCAAATTGAAATCACACAAAATAGTAATTCATTAATCATCAGTTATGAATTAACGATATGAATAGAATCAGAAAAAATATTTATGTAAACCGACACAAAATTATTATGCCACAAAACCTACTAATATAGCTGATGCCCATAACGTACTCAATTCAATTGACATGATAACCAAACGAAATTAAAATTTCTCATTGATTAATGACGACGAGGTTATATATAATAATATTTTCATGTGAAACAAATCTTAAATTTTTATCAACAGTCAATAATATTTATATGGACGAAACTTTCGATTAAAGTGCTCGGTATTTTAATGGTCACTATGTTCCATTTGTTTTTTGTTTATTACCAAATAAATGTAAACAAGCATATACTCATATTTTTTATGCAATAAGCAAAATGTGCAAAGACTTGGGATTAAATTGTTCTCCCCCCCCCCCCCAAAAAAAAGTAACTGTAGACTTTTAAAAGACTATAATTAATACAGTTTCTGAAATGTAGACGAAAACCAATATTTTAGGTTTCCGATTTCATTTAACCCAATCTTAGTACCGTTAAATACAAGAAATTGACTTATCGAGTGTATATAAATATGAGTCATCTGAAATTGGTGAATGGTTACATTATATAATTGGCTTATTATTTCTAAATCCGAAAGATATAACTGATGACTGATGTAAGTAATTGTTTCATCGATGACTTTATGAGCGAGTGTCCGATTGATAAAAGGCTACAAAAGTTTGTTGACTATTTTGTAGAAACATAATATATTTCTGAAGATTGTATTTATCCTCCAAAACTTAGAGCACTTGCATCTTCAGAACTTACATACACAACAAACGTATGTGAGTCATTCTATGCACATTTCAAAAATAGTTTTTATCAATATTCGCCATCTATTTTACAATGGTTAAATGTTTTAATTGAAGAAGTCCAAACAAACATTTATTGCAAATTAAGAAACGTCGGCGAACAAAAAACACCACAAAACCAAATTTTAAAACGATATAAAAATAACCAGTATTTAATTTATCAGTATAAAAAGGGAGAAATAAGCCGATATATATTTGTAAAATCAATAGCATAAACCTAACAATAAAAAATAAATAAATGTTCGACTGCAATGTTATTTTTACATCGTAATGTAGGATTTTTTTAATAGCATTATACAATATTCCATACAATTGTAATAATATTAATTTTAAGTATTACTTGAATATATTTTTGTAAAAACATATATTTAATTAATAATTGATTACCTTATTATTTTTGTTATTTTAAAAATCATTGCCAATTATCAATAATTCCACTTGTTTTCATAGTAAGGAGTTACCAAAATATAGAATAAATTTTGAAATTTGTGGTGACGGAAAAAGAAAATATGTATTATTAAACTAACGGTAAACGGAAAGGTCGATTTTGGTGGAAAAGTAGATCACCCTAATAAGTCTAATACTCTCAATAATAAAAAAATATATATAAAATACGGTAAATGGGGGGAGGGGGTTATAGGCCCCATGGGTCCCCCTTAAATATACCCCTACAAACAGGAAATAAATAATTAATAGAATATAATATTAAATATATATATTATTATTAAATAAATAACAGTGTTGAATAATTTTATGTAATATTATACCTATATTATAATTCATTACGTATGTTATATTAGCTATAAAATTCAATTTGTCTAAAAATAAAATTTTAAAAAACTAGCTAGATACCTACCTACATTGTTACTCTGTAACATAAAATAGAATTGGACAGCTCCAGTTTTAATGGTGCACACAATAACATTAAAAGTGAACCATAACCAAAGTTAGGATTAAGTTCGACAGATACCGGAAATGTCGATCGCGGTGCGTCGTTCGATTAATAAACCATGATTGTTATTTAATTGTCGAACATAATTAAGTAAATACATAAAATAAGCACCTACCGTGTTTATTGCTGGTATTCCTTTCATTACATTTATCGCGTTTCTTTTGACGTAGCCACAAAAATATGACGACTGTGAGACATTGTAGATTTAGCCGGAACACACATTCTTGGCATCCGTTAAATCCCGATCGGATCGTGGAGAGAACCGGTTTCTAAAAAGTACTCTCATTTATTAATTTGTGTACCGTCTGGTCACTGACTATAGTGTTCAGATAAAGGCATAAAACTTTTAAAGAAAAATTACACACTAAATGTTTTTTTAATCAAAATCCAGTTAAATAATCGCACGGAATACACTGTGATAATGCTGTATAAGTGTAGCTAGTCTATTTCTCGACATCACTGATTCGCGGGCGCATAGTATAGTTGGTAAAAGATCTACTAAATAGATCAGGGGCTGCCAACTTGCGGCTCGCGTCTTATTTATAAAATCAAAATTTACTTATTCTAATATAACGCGTAATATAAATTTTACTTATTTATTTATTTTTTCGTATTCATTTCATAAAAATTTATCGAATCGTATAAAATATTTTTTTAAACATTTTGGCTCTTTACATCGTTATTGTGTTTGCTCCGCGTGCTCGCAAACATGTTCGTGTTGGCCACCTCTATTATTCTTGCTTCGCATTTCTCGGTTGCGTCGATGGTAGTAATAATCGTACACTTTCAAAATAACACAGTCATACTTCTATACCGTTCTCTTCTAAAAATATAGTAAGTACTAAAAATCGTGTATTCAGGGTTGTAGCGGTAAATAGAGAATAGGTATACGCGTGTGTGTGCGTATATGTATATAGATATCTTTGTAGTTATATCAATGTAAAAGTATTATCAACAGAATATAAAGATAATAAAGAATCGACTGTAAATCGGGCGTCTCTAAACAACGGCCCAGTTGCAAATTTTAACTGGTTGCAGCGAATAATCCGAAAACAGATCATAACATCATATTATACTTTTTGTTTTTTTAGCTTTCTTACAAAATACAATGCATCGCATTATAACTATTGCTTAATATTATACGCCGTGTCTAAAGTATTGTTAAAATATTTCACAACATTTCAAATGTTAACGTCTTTTAACATTGATCTATCAGTGTTACGACCAATAAATTATAAACCAATTAAACATAAATCTGTACATTATTTTATTTATGTCATTACAGTCCTGAAAATGTTTTGAATTTTAAATGTCTGTAGTGATTATTTGTTTTGGTCCGCAATGTTTTTAATTGTGTAAATGACTCGTGTGCAACTAAGAAAATAGATTTGGAAGTTATAAGTACCTGTTTAAATAATGGCTATACTTTTTTCTATTAAACAGACTATTTAATAGACCTAACCTAACACACGGCGTTTTATATAGGCATCTACTAACTACACTATAAGTCTTAAATCCTTTGTTTTCCGTATCTCCTCATAATATTATGATTTGTTTCAATAAAAAATCTATCACAGGTGCCTATGTTAAAATTTAATATTTTTAAATAATTTCAATATTATATAGGTAATACATAATAGCTAATGGTTCTTAAAAAAACAATTGATAAAACAGTTAATATCCTGCAATACATCTCGTCACACCTGCTTACATACAAAAATAATTATAGCAATATTTAAATATCAAGTTTAATTCCTTTTTAATTATTTATACATAAATTGTAACGTTAAATTCTTAGATTTATAAATCAAAATTAAATTAACATTCGCACAAAACGGTTATTTCATACAGCGACAAACGTTGATATATTATTTTGTTTAATACATAAGTGAATACAAAAATTAGTTTTAAATCGTTTATAATTTCCCAAAAAAAAAAATTATAGATAGCGAAGTTGTACATAGTTGAAGCAAAACTAAGCGGAGCAATATGGAGACCTTGACCATACTTATTTTGGGATGACTGTTTTACTAGACAATTAAAATATTAAACATAGTTTTTGCATGATGAGCCAATTATATATACGTGTGTTGCGAGTGTAAATGATTATAAATTTAAGTAATATATTTAAATTTATACAGTGGTGTATTTAAGGGAAATTTATAGCAGATACCCTGACTTTTAAAAAAAAATAAGCCTAGTGTATTAGTATTTTACTCATACTTATCAAAATATTTATAACCAAACTGTAAAAATAAAATTAATTTCATTAAATCTTACGACATATGTTTCAAGGTTTATCTTAATTAACCCCTGAAAAATCACCCAAATACGTCACTGTATACAAGTATAGTAAAACATGGTTTACACTTAAGTACTACAGGGGCGCCATTTGGGGGGGAGCAGGGTATACTTTGGCTCCCCTATTTTTTTCTGTGTCTAATTGGCATAGATTAAAATTTACAATACGCCGACGGCGCACAGGCGCTGGCCCATGGCTATATGCGTACAAATTAAAATATATCATAAAAATAAAATATTATACTATTATGTATATTATGTAGGTAAATACATAATAATGCATAAAATTGATTATTTTTAGTTTTTTATTAGATTATAGCTTTCATTATGCGTCTATGCAATATGCATTATCATTGAACAAATCTATTTCCAACTTTCAGATTATGTTTTTATCGTTGCCCGTTATTGGTATCTACGTATAAAATATAAATGCGGTATAATAAAGTATAGTATAAATATAAGTTTATATAAAAATATAATAAGTACGTATCGGCGTATGCGGTTATTCCTGAATACAATAATTATGCTTGTAATTCAGAATAATTCTATATTTATATAATATCGTTACAGACGGTTATACGTTTAACAATAATAATATTATCTAACTACGTCCGTCGACTGATTACCAGAAAAAACATTCTTAAAATAGCTCGAAAATGAAATGTAAGGTTATATTCGTAAATTGGTTCTAATTGAAGTTTCCATAATACTCACATGTTAATGTAATTTACGTAAAGACGTTTAGTGTTGACATTAAATTTAGTTATCGAATATTTATTTTTTTTCAATTCTGTCATCATGAATTTACAAAATGAAAAAAAGAGAAAAGGTGGAGCTGCTCGTTTACGTGACAAAAACAAAAAAAAATTGATTGAAACATCATCGAAATGTTATAATATAGAGCAAATGTTTACAAAAAAAAACGCAGTCAACAATTACAGTAAGCAAATTTTTAAATTTCAATATAAAAATATGTTTTTATTAGCTGGTAATTATAAACAAATAACAGTTCTATCATCAGTTCACAGTTGTAATATATTAAGCTAGTATTTATTTTAATTATACTAATTTATAGATTGCCAACATTCCTGTTATATTACCGACACCAAATAATACAGTTTTAGAACCAAATAATGAGACTTGTAGTAATGCATTTGAAACTAGTATAAGTAAAGACAATAATCTAGATGAATATAGAAATGAATCTAATATTGAAGATAAAGATATTATAGAGAAGGTAAATCAATTTTATAAACCCAATATATTTTGTAGTTTTAAGAGCATATTTTTCAATTTTACCATTTTTAGAGCATATTTGATGATAAATGATATATTTATAATACATTTCAAAAATTTGGCAATATAAAAAAATCTGTAATTTATATTTATTTTAAGAGTTTTTACTACCTAGTTATTATTGTATTGTGTTTTCAAATACTTAGTTGACATACAAATTTCCATTTTTATTAATGAATATTTATTAAAAATTATAAAATATTTGATTTTATAACATTGTAAGTAAAAAAAAAAAAAACTAAAGCTTTATACTTTTTACTTTACTTTTTTAAAGCTTATTTTTGCTATTAATAGGACATTAGACATTAGTGCATGCATATTTAGTACTTTTTAAGTGCATTAAGTTCCAAGCCCTATTCGTTACATAATAATTGATCTGTATACCAGAAATTTAAATGCAAACTTGCATTTCCTTATACTAAGTACATAATATTCAAACTGTAATCATTCCAACTTAAATGTTATCAATTAATCATTAAGACTTGATGTCTTACTTATTTATTTTTAATTTAAGTGAGTAATTATTTTTTTTTTAATTTTGATTTATAGGTAATTGATATTTCTCTGAATAAAAATCATACTCCGCAGCAACCTATGTTAAATTTGTTTCCAAGAAATCCAGATAATAGATCTTTTAATGCAAATTACTATAAATTATATAACTGGATTGAATATTCTGTGTTAAATGATGCAGTGTATTGTTTTGCATGTAGACATTTTTCAACAAATAAATGTATTCGTGGCCAATATAGTGGTAACTATGTATTCATCAATCGAGGATTTAATGGTTGGAAAAAACAATCTGTGTGTTTGAAGATTCATAATGAAAGTGATAGACACAAGTCCAGCATTGAAAAATGGACACTTTATTTGAGTACTAAACAAAATGATAGCTGTATTGCTAATTTATTAACTCACTCAAGACTACAAAATATTAAAGAAAACCGTAATCATGTTTTTTTCTTATTAAAAGCTACTCTGTATCTTGCAAAGCAAGGACTTGCATTCCGTGGCCATAATGAAGAAAGAGAGTCCTTAAACAGAGGTAATTTCATTGAACTATTAGAGACATTTGGAGACAAGAACACAATATTAAAAATGCAATCAAGGTACGGTCATTATACATCCCACGAATACCAAAATGATTTAATAAGTGTTATTGCTTCATCTACAAAAAATATAATTTTAAATAACATGTCTGAGTTTTCTGCATTTAGTATCTTAGTTGATGAAACAAAAGATGCGAGTAAAAAAGAGCAACTGAGTTTCTTGATCAGATTTATTGATAAAAACTATAATATTCAAGAAAAAGCTCTTGGCTGCTATCATATGGAAAAATGTGACGCAGATTCATTAAGTAAAGCTATATTAAAAATTGTTTCGGAAAATAAATTAGACATAAATAGATGTGTAGCCCAGTGCTACGATGGTGCATCAGTGATGAGTGGATCTTTTACAGGTGTACAAAAGAGAATAGCAGACATTGTTCCACAAGCTATATTTATACATTGTTATGCACATCGGCTTAACCTATGTTTGTTAAATTCAATTCAAGACATAAGATCTGTGGTAAACTTTTTTGATACTATTCAAGGTATTTATACATATTTAATGAATAGCCAAACCAGATATGAGTTGTTTACTAAAATTCAAAAGGATAAAAAAATCAAGGTATTACATTTGGAAAGATTAGTAGAAACCAGATGGTCTTATTGGTATACCTCGCTACAAAAAATAAAACAGAGATACTCAGAAATTAAAGAAGTTTTGACTATTTTAACTTTGCAAGGAGATCAAACAGCTAGAGCCTGTGGATTACTCGAGGAAATTTCTACTTTTCAATTTATAATGATATTGAATATTATGAAAAAAATTCTCAAATGCGTTAACTGTTTGTCATGTGAATTACAATCTACTTCAATTTTTTTACCTGATGCTATGCATTTAGTCAAATCAACTAAAAAAGATCTACAGGGTTTCCGTAATGAAGAAACATTCCTTCGAATTTATGATAAGTCAAAATTATTTGCTAAAAAAAATGGATTAGCTAATGATGAAGTAAGAAACACAAGATTAAAAAGAAATTGTACATTGAATAAAAATTTAGATGACTACTTAGTGGATTCTACATTGGGAAAAACTCAAAACATAAATACTACACAAAATGTAAAAAGCGAAGTTTTCTATGCTATTATTGACAGGTAAATAAATATTAATTTAATATAATATTACTATAGAATGCTATCTTGATATTTTAAAATGTAATAATTAATATTGTACATAATAGTACTTTCTCTCATCAATATTTTATAAAAATATTAGAGATTATTAATTTTAACATTAGAAATAATATATTGTAATTAGCTTTTAAATTATTTAAAATGAAAATTACAAGATGACTAGCTAAGGTATTGTTTTTCTTATAATATATGCACTTTGGTTTAAAAATTTAAACTACACTCAGAAAATCTTATTATAACTTGGATACCTAGATTTTTAATGCTAACTATTAGATATTACATAATATTATTTGTATTTACTAGAGATTTACATTGTTTTATATTTATTTACCAGGTTTCTGACACAGATAGACTTACGTTTTTCTGAAAAAAACCAAGATCTGTTCAACATATTCCAGATATTTGATTATAATAATAATAACTATTTCAATTCAGAATGCTTACATTTACAAAATTTTTTAAATCATTATAAATATTTTAAAATTAATGTATTAAAAATTCCATCTGAATTTACTTCTGCAAAATCATTGCTTCAACAAAAAAATATTATTCAACCAGATTTAAATTCAATTATTGATACACTCAAAAAACTACCAGCAGCATTTTCAGAAACTTTGAAGATACTTCAAATTATAAACACTCTTCCAGTGAGTACTGCATCAAATGAAAGATTTTTTTCTTCACTCAAAAGAGTGAAATCTTATCTTAGATCTTCAATGGGTGACAAACGATTAAGCGATTTAATGGTCATAGCGGTAGAAAAAGAAGATGCTAACAAAATAGATTTAGACAAAGCAGTAGATGTATTTTCTAAACTAAAAACTAGAAGGTATAAGCTAGAATAGTATAATTAATTTAAAATATTAATTTATATTGTATGGTATTATTTACTATAATATGTTAATAAATGTATTAATTTATTAATTTTATTTGGAATAAATTGTGTTGATTAAATGTAGGTACCTACATATACTAAATATTTTTAGATCCATACCAAAAGGCAAATAAATTATTAATGAATAATTTTAATTCATTAAAATATACCCTTCAATAATTTAACCTCATACAAGTAACTTGCACACAAACGATGATAATATGATATCTATATTTACTATTTTATAAAAAAAAAAAAGTGGCCTGACGAAAAAAAAATTGGCCTGCTTAAATTTTGGCACCTCTATTATAAAACTCAAATGGCGCCACTGAAGTACTATACAGAATACCAGTGGTGTTGGAATGTACTTAAGGTGGCACATTTTCACCACCTAAAATTGGAAAGGGGTTATATATTATACAAACAAATGTATCGATATATTATGAACAAAAAAATATTTCATTTAAGTTTTATTTGCAATTTTAACCTTGCAGCTAAATGGAAATAATATTTTTGACGATACTTAAGTAAGAGTGCGAGTGGTTAAGTTGTGTTTGCACCACCTACTAAAAAATAGTTCGGCACCACTGCGAAATGTGTACATAAAAATAAAAATAGGTAAATCTATGAATATAATAACTATTAAATAGATCTAAATAAAAATTTACTAGAGCACAAACAAATTTCATTATTTTATGCATTCATTTAAATATAGGTATAAAATATACGATAAAAGATAGCCTAATTATGTATTTTACCTGAATCATTAACAATAAGATATTGTACAGTATGTATTGTTTTAATATTATAATTTTTCATATTTTGTGTATAATAAAATTAAGCATATGTATAATAGCACAATAACGAAATTTTTATTTTGCTTTTTATCTAGATTTAGCGGTAATATATATATATTATATAAGCATAATATCAGATTTTATTATTATATTAAAAAGGAGAAATAGTAGATACCTACGGAACGAGAATAAGGAGTGTAAATTAATTTTGTTTTTTAACAAACGAAAGAGTGACGCTATTAAAAAATAATAAATTTTGAAATAAATGTATTATTCCTACCTACAATGCTATATATATATATATATAGTTGTAGATATTTAACGTACTGCATTGCAAAATAATTCATGACAACACGTTTCTGGTAGGTTTTTACTTTTTTTTGCTGTTTTTATATAAAAATAAAAAAAGCTGTTTATTAAAAGATAGAAATCAAAACTTTATTCACTACAGAAAAAATAAAACGATATGTAGTATAATAAATACCTTTTACAATATATTGTTAATAATTAACAATAAAACTATAAGGGATTATTATTTTACTATTACTATTATTTTGAAAAAAAAAACAAAACTTTTTGAAAGGTATGTAATGGAGATTGTACTTTTGTAAATTGTTGATTCATAAATCAAATTAGATTTAGTCTTTACCTATGTTTGGAAAAAGCTATGCCCAGTTTACACCTCAAATTAATTACTAACCAAAAAATAGCTTTTGTAGTTACAATACATTTTTACAGCTCTTGTATCTCTTTGAAGTTATGCCTGTTAAGATCGAACAATTATGTCCTTAAATTATATCCCTAAAATACTATAAATAATTACCTAACTCAATTAATAGTTGATGAAGAAAAATATTGCAAATCCGATGTAGGTACCTTTATATATCATATCATGTACTTTATGCATACAAAGAAACTAGGTAAACTAAAATATTATTCATAAGTCAAATTATACCGAGGAACAACTTACTTTATTATACACTTTTTATTTCAATAAATTTTTAACATCAGAAATTATTATTATTTAGGTATAATACTTACTCACTAATCACTTCTAAGCTCAAATAATTTAATAACATATAAATATAATAAATATTATTATAAATTATAACATAAAATAATAATACTTTTAAATCTTTCCTACAGTAGGTAGTCAATAAGTGTCCCTATGCAGTATGCAGTTTACATGAATGCCGCGTAAATAAAAATTATAATCAATTGAAGTGGTAAACACTATAATAATGTAAATAACTATATAAAATACAGAGAATAATAAACATTCAAATCTGTGTCGAATATATTACATTTATGTATTTACATAAATCCATCCAATCATAAACACGCAACCCAACAGTCTGTTGGGAAGTTAATACTCACCAATTGCATTTATACGTATGTAATTATAACATAGCGTGTATAGCTTCAGCGGCTTACACTTGGGGAGGAACGGTAGTTTTCTCTGTTCAATACTCCGTTTGATTTTTTTTCACTAAGCATATAAAAACGTGAAAATGTTTTTTTTTTTTTATATATATACGAATATATGTATAATAAATTGTATATGATATACTTATAATTTTATTTTTAATAATCAGTGGAATTAGAGGGTTATATTAAACCCCATCTTCCTTAAATTTGAAATTTCTGTGTACGCCGCTGTACAGCTTTATCGAACTACCGACTTACATACAAGGAAAACAGGAGAAAAAAGGTAATTGAAACTGGAATGAAATAAATAAATAATCATTAAATAACAACAACTGTACTTACTATATTTCTATTTTTTTTTTTTTTTTTTAAGTAAAAATGACAATAGAAACATTAAGGCTCAGGGACATATTGGGTAAACATGTTTCTAATATATATTCACGTGTTTAAAACATTGATTTCGCACCACTGAACTCAGTCCGTATTTATCCAAATTATAACTAGAAAAAAAATTAATAACATATGGCAGTGCACTCTAGTGCACACGAACAGAAACGATAATATTGACGTTTCAGATCGCAGACCACACCCTGAAATTTTTTAACAAATTTCTTAAGGTATGGACACTAGAGTATTAACCATCAGTTATTAATATCATCCCCAAATAAACTAATTTACATTTATTTAATTTTTACACATTTGTTTACATTTAAAGAAACTATTTACCCAGAATGTCTTAATACTTATTGAAATTACAATTTGTACGATTATTTTGAGCCGCTAAAGCCAACTATTTTATTTATTTTAATAGTGAATTTGCTATAGTGGTAGAATTATTAATGGATATTATATTATATTTTTCAAAAAAAAAATTATATTATGTTATTATATTTACTATATAATAATAATAATATTTAACATTATCTTAAAATTACAAAGAAAAAAAAAAGTCATACATGAGAATTGTTGGTTCTGAAAATTAAAGCCGTTGGCAGTGTTTAATTTTTGATCAGAAACACGTTTGTACATATAAGATAGAAATTAAAGAAGGTGTAGCTTAAATTTATTTAACAACAACCCCCTCCAAGGATATTTTTTAAATTCTACCACATAAGTTATCTGAATTGTAGGTATGATTAAAAAAAGCATTAATTAAATGGCATCATTAGTGAAATATTCCTAAAATATAAGAAGGTGTGGACAAGTGGAGAAATAATAACTTGTTATAACTATGAAATTAATGATTTAATGCTAACAATATTTTTTTTAATTTTAACAAATTCTACAAATATAACACTGAATAAATAATAAAAAGGTCTTACGAGTAACAAATAAGATGGTTAACACCAATATATAGGAAATAAAATATTAACGTTTCATATCTCTCTTCTGGTGTCAAAAACTTGATTGTAATGTCACTACATTAATAGGCTTAAATTAGTTATGTTTTGAAGAAAGTTTTTTTAAATTTCATTACAACAATTTAACAACAAGCAGTGACATTATATATATATTACATAATAATAAACATAATTTTATACGATCATATACGATTTAAACTTAATTTATGCTTATTGCTAAAAATAAATTTCCAACTGGGCAACTTTCAAATTTGATAAGCACCCTTAATATACTAGTTATAAATAAAATAAACCACTTATAAGTAGAATAATAAATATATATTGCTGGGGGACAGAGGAAGTAATTATTATTAAATTACGAAAAAGTGAAATTGTTAGAAATAAAATCAGCGTGTAATACTCTATCACAATACTAACCTACGAATAAGTAACTCACATTATTTTTTTTTTAACAACACTTTTATTATAAGCTACCTATAAAATAAATCTATGACCAGAATTAAAGTAGTTTACTTTTAGTTAAACGATAGGATAAATTTAATATTATTACGAACTGAAGGAATAAACATTTATTGAGCATTAAATGCAATATTTTCAGGCTTGTAAAAGCGCAGTAAACTTAAAATTTGGATAAGTTAGGCATGATAACATTGAAATTTTAACAAACCATTGAGATTAACAGGCAGGGAGGGGGCGATTACTGTATTTTATTAATAAAATAAAAACACACATCAACTTTGGTAAAAAAAATAATAATAAAAAATAAAATAAAATAATATTAATAATAATAACACAACAAAACACGGAGAGCAAATGATTTGCACAATGAGCCTAAATTTGTTTATACAATACAGCTAGTATACCATTATTGAACCTGAATTATTCCAAAAACCAATGGAAAAACATTCAATTTCATTTTTTATGGAGTAAAAAATACAATAAGCAGTAAGTATAACACTGTTTCAGCTGGACCAAAACAACAAATAGCTGTTTTCATTTAGTTATTTGTTAACAACTATGATAAATTTTTTTCTAAAAACATAAATAAAAATTGGTCTGGCAAACCTAATGCATCTGTATCTAAAACTTTATTCCTTACTTATGACCTTTGTTTAAAATGTGTTATTATTCATTTAACTGTCAAATTATTTCCGGTGTCGTACATCACCACCACTGTGGTCGTTAGCATTGTTTCTGAAATAGGTAATAAAAAAAAATAAATAAATGAATACAATATTACAGTGTTTAAAAATAAATGTAAGCCTCAAAGATTAACATATTGTGTTAAGGTATAAGGTATAATATTATGTCATGAAATGTATATCTAATCAGAATTTGCAACAATAAAAACCTAATACATTAATCTTTATAAGACACCAGTATTCTTGTAATAGTCAGGCTTTTATGTTAAAAGATTGCTTAAAAAAAAAAAAAAAAATATTTACCATTAATATAACTAAACAATTACACTACATTTATGACCCATTAGTTAAGCAAGAATAATTTGAGTGATAGAAAAAACAGAGATTTCTTTACAATATAATCCAATATATAAATCAAGCTCATCTTACTTACGTCTCTGGCCCTTGGTCTGTATCACTTTCCTCAAATTCGGCCTTGTTACGTTTTTTCTCATATATAAATATAACCAAACACAGAAGGATTACTTCAGCACAAATACCCAAGAACGGCCACAATGCAGCCATTTTATCTATAACATAAAAAAAAAAAAAAAAAAATTAACCAAATAAAACAAACATTAACTTCTTATTATTTTATTTATTACCTTTAATGCGCACGTAAGAAGCGCCAGAGGTTACAGGATATGAGACATTACTCTTTCCAATGCAGAAGAAGTTTCCTCTATCTTCCATTTTGATAGGATCCAAAACTAAGATGGCATTGCTAATATTCTTCTTGTTAGGTAAAAACTTAATTTGTTCAGTAGGCAAAAGAGTTTTATTTTCTAAGATAAAAACGTTTTAACAGTTAGAGTTTAATATTTGAAGTATAAAAAATATATAACTTATCCTTTATACTTACCAAATTTCCAACTAATTTCTGGTGTAGGTACACCATATACAACGCATTCCAATTCCATTTTTTCACCCTCAATAAATGTAGCTGTTTTTGGCAGTTTCATGTAAGGCTTTACTGTAAAAATATTAAGTCTTAAGCATTTTTTTTTTATCCTAACTATATAAAATAAAAAAAAATTGTAGGTTAACTATCAAAATTTTAATTCTTAAAGAAATGGCTTATTTTATTAAATTAAATTCATAAATAAAATTTAAATAGTCTCTTATCATCGAATACTATTATTGAATAAAAACCAAAAATAAAATCAATTTAATTATATTGAAATCAAAAATATATAAGTATTATTTAAAGAAAGCTAATAACAGAAGGTACAAGGAAAATTGATTAAATAAATAAATTGTAATAGTTGTGACAGGAAAGTATAATGGAATATTAGAAACATTTTTACAATACAAGAATACATGATAAGAATTATCAAACAAATGCAAAAGATTAATTAAGAATAAACACTTAAAGTAAATTCTTCAAAAACTAAATCTTATTAAGGGTCTTTTATTCTTATATTTTAGTCTTAATTTAGTATGAGCTAACTAGTGATTAAATTATAAAAATATAATTATTTTAAAATATAATATAGTATACCCATTAATATTTTATTAGTTTAACTAGGTAAATAGACAAGTTATTTATTATACCTTCAATAAAAATTAGATTAATAAAATTTAAAAAAATATGATATAAAATAATATACTAACAAAAAATCTTGACTGTCTTTTCAGCTTTAACATTATTATTAGAATCACGTATTTCGCATTTATACTCGCCAACATCACTTTCAACAAAACGATTAACTACCAAAGTGTTTTCAGACACATCATAGTGGTGTGGGTCTTCAGAATCAGTTGTTATTTGATTACCATCTTTAAACCTAAAAATTAATATTTGTTAAATATTTATTTATGATAAAATATATAGACAACTAAAATGTATATACTGACCACTTTGATGTGTACTTTACACCATGAGCTTCATCATCATTACAATTAAGCACTAGTTTGCTTCTGTATTCACCTACATTATACTGATCGGTGTAGTGGTCATAATTTCCTTTTATACTTAGTGTTGCTAAAACAGAATTACAAACAAAAAATGAATACCAACTAAAAAATTAATGGTTGTTATTTTATAGCATATTTTGGATATAACATAATATAGGTCATTAAAATTGGATTTTAAACAACATAAGATTATACAAATTACATATTATATGCATTAGTAAAAAAAAAAAAAATCATATGTCTGAAAGGTTTAATGTTTTATATAATTATATGTATATTTCATTTCAAATGCAAAATCTATATAACAAATAATGAAAACAATAAAAAACCAACAACAGTAATGGGTTAATACCTAACACAATGATAAATCTAATCTATATGAGATGTCGCAGTATACTGGAAAAGTGTAACTAGTCGCAATAGTTAATTTATATGCGAGCCTAAAATGAAGCGAGGCGAGCCGGTCCGGGCACATGGACATTTAATTTAAAAGCTCATCATAGCCGGCACGTACCGGTAACCACATTTAGTACATGAAACTTGTTGTACTGAGTTGTGCATCGATAGGCACCCGAATGCATCGAGGATGCAGAATTGGTCGTAATCGTGGATACAAACATATTGTCACTAGTTACTGCTTCGCTGATATTGAAATGTTCATCAGTAACCAGGGTTTGACCATCCTTTTGCCATTTTATGACTTGGAACATTGAAACACGACATGTTATCTTAAATGGGTCGCCTTCTCTCACTGTTGTATTACCCTCGTAAGTGGGCTCATCAGCTAAGTAGTCCAATTTCGTTTCCGAAACAAACAAACATATTTTTCATACCCCATAGCCACGAACAATTTAAATAAACAAATAAATAAAAACTAAATAATCAAGAGTTACCTTTAGCTGTGCTTAATAATTTAATTGTTGAATACATGGCTTAAAAACTTTATCATTAGGCTAATTATATAGGTAGTTAAGTAATTTAAGCAAACCTACAAAAACTTAAAAATTATACTAAATTACTATAATCTTCATAGACATCACATCAACTAGGTACTTAAATATAAATTTTCTGTTTTTTTATTAAGTTTACACATACCTATATTTAAACTATACCTAATTTTTAAGAAAATAGGGAAAGTATTTTATTTTAAACTTTCTTTGATTATATGTTGCTAAAAAAAAAATTACTTATAAACGATAATATCAACCGAAAAAATTTTTAGATAATAAATTCTATTAAAATTATTTGAATTTAAATATAAATTTCTATTATTACATACCAATGTTTATCTTAAATTATAAACTTGCTATAAGTAGATAAAAAGGTGTATGGTTAGTGATAGTAAGTTAATAAGAAGATAATTACATAAAAATAATAGATCTACATTTGTCAAATTATTTAAAAAAAATTAGGTATCTTATTTAGGTAACATTAATATCAAGATTAATATAAAATGCAATAAGATAAATTATTAATTTAGATACCTAGCAACTTAATAATTATTAATGAAAACGTAATAACAGCTTATTTCATTGAATATTTTTAACTTATATCATAAAATGAATATACAGTAAAACTGTTATGATGGTTTTGCATAGAACCAACTGATTATTTTATCAAAAGGGGACAAAATTATTGGGGATATAGGTTATTTGAGACTTGCTATTTTTCATTATAGGGAGAATTCCGTCTAATAGAAGATTGGTCATAAAGAGGTCTTACTGTACAAAATAAAAATATCTAATTTAATTTCAAATTAAAGAAATCTAGTTGTAACTCGCCACCCACTAGCATCCTATGTATAGGTAATAATAGATAAAAGACTTATTACATTTGTCATTAATATCTAGTACCTATATTATTGTATACATACATAGATATATTTCTTTTTTTTAAATTAGGTAGTAGGTAGGTACCTGAAACCATTTTAATTTATAGTATTTTAAATTAAATTGACATATCTACTTGAAGTCAGTGTAAAATGATTACTTCGACATGATTATAAGAAAAATTTATTTTATTTTATCGTTAAAACTACAATACCTTAAAAATCTATTGTACCTATTCATTTGAACCAAAGCTGTTGTTGCACAGAATATAATGTAAGTAGTAACAAAATCTATTTGAAACTATACAGGGACTGTTTTGAGAGTTGACGATCAGCATAAATATTAGAAAATACTAACAAGCTGTAGACAAGTGGCGGCATTATGAAGAGACAATTTGATACGTTGTGAGTTACAAAACCCGACTACAAGAGAGTAATGTTTGTTCTGGGGTTGTGGTATTAAACTTACAGCAAACCAGTAAAAAGTAACCCACCAAACATTTTCAAATAATTTGTTTACTTAATTCATCTATTTTCAAAAGGTGCGGGAAAAACGGGTAACGCCCTAACCCCAGCGACTGCAAATCGACGTAAGAACAAAGAAACATACCCAAGACCCTGGAGGGCTGGAAATCCAATAAGGCGTAGAAAACGACGCTGTACACAACGATGCTGAGCGAATTCCAGCACATAATTTCGGATACGTTTTCCCGGGTACGGGTCGGCCGAATTTCTCAGCAAATCACTCTAAAACGATCGCACTGGCCGTCTAGTCGTCGCAGCCACCGCCACCGTCGCGCTCCTGATCGTCGTCGTCGTCGCCGCCACCACCGCCGCCGCCGCCGCCGTCTTGATCACCGTAGCCGTAGCCGTGATCGACGCTGTGAAGGTCTTCGTCACCGTCGCCGAACGTCGACCAGAAGGAATTCAAACGAAAAAAAACCACGACACCCACACGAAAACACACAAGTTACGTACAGTACCTAGGTATGTATGTATATGAAAAAAAAAAAAAATTAATTCTTTACTCAGTCGCACGCACAACTCACGACGGCTAGAGCGTTGATGTCGGTGTGTGTGTGTGTATGTGTGTGTGTGTGTGTGTGCGTGTGTTCGGTGCGCGTGTATGCGTATGAAAAACCGTACGGTCTACGGACGCCCGCGCGCGCGGAATTAAAAAGGCGATATTATTCGGCGGACCGTGTACGAGTGAACGTGTGTTGGTGAGCGAGTGTGTGTGTGTATGTATGGGACAGTGTGTGTGTGGAACGAACGACTGCCCGTACAGTGTGTACAGCGGCTAGTGGAACGTATTTATGTGTGACTGAGTGAACGAGTTTATGAGCGAGTGAGCGCATACGTACGTGACGTATATGTGTGTGTGTGTGTATGTATGACGTACGTATTTATGTATGCGTGTGTATGTGAGTGTGTATGTATTACGGTGTTCAGTCGTCGGAGAGAGGTAAAATAGGCTAAAAATTTCCTTGTGCCCCGCGGAACAGGGCCGACAGAAAATAACTCGAAGGGAGAGAAGAGACGACGACACACACGCACAGATGCGACGGCAGAGAGAGAGCGACTACGGGGCCGTCGTCATTGACTCGGCGTTGGTGTGACCGAGACGGCCAAACTCACCGCTGCGGCGGCGGCGGCGCCCTGTCGTATTGATTTGCCGCCGCTCCACGCCCCGCCCTGCGCCGCGACAGCGTAACAGTCGCGTAGCCGCTATCGCCGTCGCCGGGCGCTCGACAGTGGTACCGCAGTCGGCGGATCGAAATTATTCGCGCGATACGCGGCGGAAAACACCGCATCCGCCCCCGGTGCAGCCACTACGGTCTCGCGCCGAAAGTTCCTACACAGTTTTTCCGTTTTTTTTTTCGACCGGCGGCGAGCTGTTCCCCGCCGAAGTCGCCGACCTCGAAATTTGACCGGAGAACCGCTCGCCCCACCATGTGCATGTGTTCACGAACCACCTCCCGGGCTCTAACCACGGCCCATCCCTTAAGTCATCGAGTCCGCGCACCTAGCGCAATGGCTGGTCGGGCCGGGACGACCGACGGGTACACACCAACCGAATCGTAGGTCGTGTCCCCTTTTGTTGGGGGTGGAAGGAATGAGCGCGTGCGCGATCGGAAAACTCCTTTGCGCTCATTCTCTCTGCATCCCCCCTCCATAACCGTCTTTCTCTCTCATTATCGTTATTTCGTTATTTCTCCTTCACTCATTCATCCCCGTCGTCGTCGTATCACCCCCGCCGAACATAGACCTATTTTCTTTCCACTCCTCTCGCATCAGCCAAGTCCCCGGCCGCCTGTATTTATACCATCGTTGGTTTAATAACATTATAATAATTAATAATAATATTATGTACGTGTGTGACAACGATAATAAATGACATTAATATATGAATCATGTACGTGGTGACGATAGGGCACGGATCGCACGACGTGACGTGTGTACGTCATACCTGTACCGATTACATTTACAGGGATGGATAGAGGGTGTAAGTGGAAGAAAAGCTTATCAAAAGTCACAGCGCAGTGGCAATGGTGTTCCGATAACGCACCTGCCGTTGCGTACACTGCAACGTACCTAATCGGCCGCCGAAAGCACGCACGCACACATAATATGGGTCAAAGTATGTGTACATAATGTGTACTACATACGAACGTCGTCGTCGTCGGGCGATCGACATGCAGTCTGCTGCCGTCGCCGTCGTTTATATTTATTTAGCCCCGACTACAGCGGAATTTTTTTGTTTATATATACATAGATGCTTAGACGTAAAAAAAAATAGTTTTATTAATCTAATTAATGGGCACTGGCTCGTGAGATTTTCACTGTCATTTCAAAAGAATTCTCGTAAACGCGTTTGGCACAGTAATTGTGTCCGTCAATCGAATGGCGGGAGTGTGTGACACATCGTATTTAAATCCCGCACTAACCATTGCCACGATTTCTCCAATATCGGTTTAATATTCCGCTCAATCAATGCCGATTATCGATCGCTTTCTGATAGACAATAATCTTTGCACTCGTACACGATACGGCTTGATAGTATATTATTTTTGTATTACAGAATATTGACGTAACATAAGCGTGTCGTGTAAATTCTAGTTTAGGCGTTGCCTAGGTATATGCCAATCGGTATATTTTGTACCTACTGGCTCATATCTAATACTGGTGCACATAACCATTATACATTGTTATTGCCGGATTTGTCACTCCATTACACCTGATAATAGAATTGTATTATAATATGATAATCTATCGTATAATATTATAGTATCGATGTTTACAAATAAAAAAAATTAAATGTTCAATAATGGCAAAAGGTGTCAGTGTAATCGTATTGGCTATACAACTATAGAGGCTTAAATATGTTGGTCACGGCAACTTTTGAGAATTCGAGTGGGTAAAAACTATGCTATTATAGAGATATAAAAAAAATATCTGTACTAAAATATACAGTTAATACATAGACCAAGGAATACTTTAGGGACTAAAAAGGGCGTTACACACGCCCTATACGTTAGTATAGGCAATTTCATTGATTATCTTATAAGATAAATTAAGCATAAATAAGTGAATATTAAATAATTAATAGATAAGTATTAAAATACATTTAAAACATGAATAATATTTTAATATAAATTGTAATATAATACATTAAAAAACAAATGTATAATAGGTACCTATATACTATAATACACCACATGCAGTATATGCCTATACAAATATAATTTAAAATGTATTCATGTTAATGAAAATTTTAAAAAGATAAGTATATCATAAATAAAATCATATTTATTTTATGATAAAAACTGTATCATAATAAATTTGTAAATAATAAATACGGATTTACATATTCACAGTTTTTACATCAAGATAATAATGTTCTTATATATATATACTATAGATACGTCATTCTAAGGTCTATTTACAATAAGAAAATAATTAAATTCCTATTTTTTTTTAAATTTTGACAAATTAAATTGACAGTTATAACTTATAAGTAATTAAAAAGTTAACCATAGATTTTTAATTAAATTATCATTAGTTATAACTTATATCATCATAATAATATAAATGTATTTATACGGTATAACTACGATATTACTACATTAGTTATTGAATTTCACATGACAATAGTTTTAGTTATGACTCATAAGTTATAAATTATAACTTATAAGTTTTATAATTATAATAATTATTATACAATCAACACACTGCATAGCACTTGGCGCGAAGCCTAGCTTTTTGTTAGGGAGTGTCTTAATTTTATATTTAAATACTACTTATGAGGGGAGGGAGTAACACAATTTCCAACGTATTAATTAATCTCCACAAAAATAATATCGAATATGAAATAAAACTATATGACAACATATTTTTTAAGTACCTATATTTAAAAGGTATTATATCTATTGAATAATTTTTTTACATAAATACGATTTACGATATGTTAAAACTTATAAGTTTTAACATATTTTGTTTTTGCTTACAACTCCTAAAAGTAATTAACCAACTCCTGACTACGCCTCTGCACAGTACTGTACATAACAGTTTTTTTTTTATTATTTAACACTAAAAAATTTTCACTATATTAATTAATAATTAAGGTTCAGCTTTCCATACTTTGTTATTGTTATCATTATTAAAATTTATATAAAATTTATACACTGTGAATTAATCAGTTAACATTTTCGAATCTGCGAATTCAATATTAATTATTATTTCATATTATGTTTAAAAAAAAATATGTACAATAATTATTGTTTACTTCTTAATAATATTTTAATAATATACCTACTTAAGTTGTTCTATTTTAGGGTTATTGCAAGATACGTCTTTGATTTCTATTATAATACTTTTGGTTTTTTATTTTAAGCAATAATATTCAACAATATTATGAAATTGCGAAAATTTAAAAATGTGTATAATGTATTTTATATTTGAATAAAGCACTGATATAATTTCATTTTTTTTATGCGCATATTTTGATGCAGGCCACACCATAAGCCCTGTCTAGAATTTTTTCATTTCAGGCTAACCAATCTATAAGAGCCAAATAACAATAACATTGAATTTTAAACACAAAAATGTATATATTATGTGATTTAATTAACGCCACTGAAATAAAATATTATATTTTTTAAAGTCTTAGCTCATATGACTTACTAGTACTTATAGTAGTATTATAAGCATATTATATTATATTTTAGTTAATTTGTTTATTATAATTTATATAACACGTTAACGGTATTAAACTAGTATTTAGTAATCTGTATAACACCATTTATATACTATCATTATACAAATATAATAAATGTGACCTACATAAAATATATAATGTGGTTTACTATACATTACTTTAATTAATAGTACCTACTACACATTTAAATTTAACTGATATTATGTTTTTTCTTTATCAGTTAAAATTATTTATTATTTATAGATACTACTTAGTACTTACTAAGTATTTAATAAATTATAATATAAAATATTAACATTTTTAAAATTGCATTGTGTATAGTAAATAATGATACACGTGACACGTCATGCCAAAGATTCAAGTCTCTTCTAATAATTTTTTTTTTTTAATTAGGTATAACAAAATAACTAATTAGTAAAAACTTAAAATTGTTGTTTCTTGTTTAAATTATTTTCAAAAATTTAAATTAAAATACCTATACATAAAACATTTGTGCATATTAATATATTATGTATTATTAAAATAAAAATATGAAATAAAGATTCTTGTACAGTTCAACAGTTGTACCTATTACATTTTTGATTTTTTTTTAACTAAGCATATAATTGTTCATCATCCAGAAATATCGAAAATCAAAAACTTTTAACTCTCATGAATAGTTCAAAATTAGTCGATATAATTTGAATATTTCAATGAATATAGAAAATTATAATTTAAGTCATAGTATTTCAAATTTCTATAGGTAATAATTCTTAACTTACAACAACAAAAAAATAAATAAATCATTCAAAAATAAATCGTTATTTTACATTTTTGTTTGGTTACCAAAGTATCTTAGTTTTATATCTATACCTATGTTTAATAGCCAATAGGTACTACTATAGAGCTGTAGTGGATTGAACAAGAAACATACAATGAGTAATGAATATAATATGACAATCACGATGATGTTAATTTTATCTTGATTGCCGTTTGCCGATTGGGGTGTGGTACAAAATACAAATCCATTAATAAACTAGAGAACATATTTGTAACTTTTGTATGAAAAGGTCAATAGTGTATTATTAATACCTAGGTACTCGATATCTTAATAAATTAAATCATTTTTAAAATGTTCTTGTTTTATATTTTATGAATACCAACTTATTGTATAATAATTAATACATCTTACTTCGCCCTCTTTATTTAATGATATAATTGAATAATCAAAACAGTTTTAGAAATTTACCAATAATTAAAATATAAAACAAAAGTTGATTTGTTATTATTTTTATCACATCATTACAACAAAGGTTGCTACTATAGCCTATAGGTACCGGCGTATCGCTTAATTATAATACAGAAATCACAATTTTTTTAGAAGATAAGTTGATGGATGATCTAGTATTA